GCCCACAAGGTAGAGATGGGTGGAGTTCATGATAAGAGAACTCTGCCTTAGTGGCAGTGTGGCCTCATTGCTGGGTCTGTTTCTCCTCTTTGCTTGGCTCCCTGAAAGCTGACAAAAAGTATCAAAAAACAGTCTGAGCCACTTTGATCCCTAGCCACAGAGAAAGGAAGGGATGAAGGGAGGCCCTTGTTTCCAGACCTGTCTATCATTCTTGAAGGAACAGATGGGCTCGGGAGCTGCAGAATCTGAACTACCACTCCTGATGGCTCTGGTCACAATGATGTCTTTGTTCTTGCCCTACACTTCAGAGCCCAGTGGTTACAGTGGCAATGGGAGTGTATGTCCCAGCACAAGGCATTGCAGGCCCTCCCACCTTAGCAGAATATAGTTCTTCCTCTGCTCCTTATGGACTTGGAATTCCCCGACCTGACTAGTAGAGTGGCAATAACCAAACTCCTGTGATTGTTGGGAGAGTTCAGAATTCCTGAACAAGCAGGTTCCCTTGAAGGCCTGCTTCCCTGGGGAATTGGACCTGAGGCTACCCTTCCTCTGTGCCTCCACAGCTGGCAATGAAATGCATGAGACCAGAAGATGTGTCAGTGCTGTACATCACTCAGGCCCAGGAAATGGAGAAGCAGGGCAAGTACCGTGAGGCTGAAAGGTGAGCCGTGGCCTCAGAGAAGGTGTAGGGAGAGATGAGATTTCATTGCTGGGAGGAGGGATGGGGTCTCAGGATGTGTACCCTCTGCCCAGAAGGCAGAGACAGCAGGGATCTGGGTCTAGGAGGCCCTAGATGCATCTCCCTTCCCCAGGCTCTATGTGACAGTAGAAGAGCCTGATCTTGCCATCACCATGTACAAAAAGCACAAGCTGTATGATGACATGATCCGCCTGGTTGGGAAGCACCATCCAGATCTCCTCAGTGACACACACCTACATCTGGGCAAGGTGAGCCCTTCTCCTGGCTCTACCTATCTCTTCCCCAACCAGGCTCCACCTCCCCATCCTTCCATCTTGACTCACCTTCCTGCAGGAGCTGGAGGCTGAAGGCCGACTACAGGAGGCCGAGTACCACTACCTCGAGGCCCAGGAATGGAAGGCAACAGTGAACATGTACCGAGCCAGTGGGCTTTGGGAAGAGGCCTACCGCGTAAGGAGTTCAGGCCATGCTGAGGGATACATGCATCCTTCTTTCCCATGGTTGTTTTTTTTTTTTTTTTTTTTTCCCCACACAGGTTCTCACTGTCACCCAGGCTGGAGTGCAGTGATACAATTACAGCTCACTGCAGCCTTGACCTCCTGGGCTTAAGCAATGGATCCTCCCACTTCAACCTCCTGTGTAGCTGGGACTACAGGCATGCACACCACACCTGGCTAATTTTTAATTTTTTTGTAGACAGTTTTTCCACCATGAGTTCAGGCTGGTCTTGAACTCCTGGCCTCAAGCAATCCACCTGCCTTGGCCTCCAAAAGTGTTAGAATTACAGGCATGAGCCACCATGGCCAGCCCTTCTTTCCTACTTTAAGTGACTAATTCACAATCGGTCAGAGCATCTTTGAAAATGTAGTGAAGATCAGAGTCTCTCTTGCCAGAACCACATTCACATCTATATAAAGAAAATGTCATTTATAATTTTAAGGGTCTGTGGACCAGGTAGGTAAAGCCTATCCTTGGACCCTAAGTACTTCAACCTAAGTTAAGAAACCCTGAGATATAACCCTCTTCCTGTTAACTTTTTATTTTATTTTACTTTTATTTTTTGAGACAGAATCTCACTCTGTCTCCCAGGCTGAAGTGCTGTGACACAATCTTGGCTCACAATCTAGCCTCTATCTCCCAGGTTCAAGCAGTTCTCCTGCCTCAGCCTCCTGAGTAGCTGGAACTACAGGCACTCACCACCATGCCCAGCTAATTTTTGTATTTTTAGTAGAGATGGGCCTTCACTATGTTGGTCAGGCTGGTCTCAAACTCCTGGCCTCAAGTGATTGACCTGCCTCTGCCTCCCAAAATGCTGGGATTACAGGCATGCGCCACTGCACCCAGCCTCTCCCTGTTAACTTAGAGCAGTTACTGGATCCTTGTCAAAGCCAAGGTCAGAGATGAGAAGGGAGCAACTCTGTATTGGAGGATTATTGAGTGAGTTTGCTTTACAGGTGGCCAGGACTCAAGGAGGGGCTAATGCCCACAAACATGTGGCCTATCTGTGGGCAAAGAGCCTGGGAGGAGAAGCTGCAGTTAGACTGCTTACCAAGCTGGGACTCCTGGAAGCTTCTGTTGACCATGCTGCAGACAATTGGTGAGGCCCCAAACATTCTCTCCACGAGCCCCATCCCAGCTAGAGGCCCTCTCTAGATAAAGAAGATTGATGTATAACTGAAAAATATTTCCAGAAGCAGAGGTAAGAATGAAGAAATGTGGTAAAGGAAGATCCTTGGAAGGACATGATAGAGTGGCAAGAATAAATTAACTGCTCCTATTCCCTAGGGCTCAGAACAGTGTTTACTCTTTGGCCGTTCTAAGAAGGGTGGAGAGGGAACAGATTGTAGAGCTAGCACTGCAGACTGCACTAAGCCAGTCACTTGCATCTGGGTAGTAGAAGTGTGATTCTTCAAATGCAAAGTGAACTCTTCTTTTTTTTGGAAGCACCAGAGCTCATGAGGTATTTTATTTGTAAATATGTATTACATCTCCAGAAAAAGAATCCCAGGATTTTCCCTCCAATGTGTTGTTGTCTTGCTTCTTCATGGTTCATGATGCCAGCTGAGGTTGTCAGTACAATAAAACCAAGCTGGCAGGATGGGAGCAGATTATTCTGCCATTTTTCTAGATTTCTGAGTTACATGTCAAATCTGGGACTGATCACTCCACACTTGTTCAGCCTGCCTGTGAGGTTCACAACAATTTTCCTGGCTCTGTGATCATCAGTGATTTCAAATCCGCCGAATGTAACCATATTTCATCATCACAGTTAGAAACCAGATGATGACTTTGGAGTACAGCCTGATAAGAACCTGGTGTTTGCCTCTTTCTGGCATTGCTGATGCTTTTGACAGCATCAGCCAGGACATTCGTGCGCACCATTGTGGCGGCACAGAAAGATGGCGGAAAGAGCAAAGTGAACTTTTCTTAAGCAACTGTTATAAATGCCAATTGTGGAGTCCAATGCTGAGGGTGATCTTGTTCATTTTTTGGACAGACTGTGTTTCTGATAATGTAGCTGGGGCTCAGGAGGAGGTGGTGAGCACCAGGAGCCCTCCTGGCCCTGTCAGCATAGGACTTCGAAGCTCACTCCTCCCTTCCCCTTCGCAGGCCCATTCTCCTTCCTCAGGAGCAGCTGGCCTCAGGGAAGGCATAGGCTTTTCCAGACGTCTCTTGATCCATGCGGACAGTGACGTGGTCTTCACAGGGCTGCCTCCCTGTCTTCCTTTTTATCTCTGTGCTTTTCTGTCACTTCATGTCTGTTATCCTTAAACCTGTCACTTTTTCTCCCCTCAACCCTGTCCTTTCTGTTTTGTCTTGTTCCTTTTATGAAGGGAAGTGTGAAGTAAGAAAACTTTATCTGCACCTTTTGTTTCAGCAACTTTGAATTTGCTTTTGAACTCTCTCGGCTGGCTGTCAACCACAAAACCCCGAGATCCAACTCAAATACGCTATGTACCTGGAGGATGAGGTATGGGTGTGATTTGGACCCTGACCGCAGAGCCCTCTTGTTCCATCCCCTAGTGCACTGCTTCCTGGTGTGTAGACCCCAGTCACGGGGCTGCCTGTGATGCCGGTCTCCTTCCCATCACACACGGCTGTCCTTCTCCTTGTAGGGTAAATTGGAAGAGGCTGAAGCTGAATTCATCAGAGCTGGTAAACCCAAGGAAGCAGTCCTCATGTGAGTTACCCCATACATTCCTTAATCCTGTTTCCCCAGTCACAGTCCCCGGATCTTTCATGATTATCTTGACCTTCATTCAAACCTAGAACAAATCAGTGTTACACCCCTCAGTGACATGGCTGTTTGTCTTCCAGAATTGGGGCCTCAGTCCTATACTCAGTCTCTCCTCTGTCCCCATTTGGGGGCAGGTTTGTTCACAATCAGGACTGGGAGGCAGCTCAGCGTGTGGCCGAGGCCCACGACCCTGACAGTGTCGCCGAGGTGCTTGTGGGACAGGCCCGGAGGGCGTTGGAGGAAAAGGACTTTCAGAAAGCAGAAGGGCTGCTGCTCCGGGCCCAGAGACCAGGCCTGGCCCTCAGTTATTATAAGGTGGGGCACTGGATTCAGGGCCATGAGGGGCCGGGGAGAGGGTCTGAGAACCCACAGAGAGCCACACTGACCCTTGGTATGAAGAAAGATCAGGGAGGTTGGTACTGAGGAGTGGGAAAGACAGGAAAGAGGAAGGAGAAGAGAGGTCTAAGGACCCAGGAGTCCGTGGGCCAGGGCACCTGTGTGGCAGTGGGAAGCTGTCCTGCCTGCCTCTGCCATCTTGATACCTGGAAATCTGAGCAGGAGGCTGGATTATGGAGTGACGCGCTGCGGATCTGCAAGGACTATGTGCCCGGCCAGCTGGAGGCTCTGCAGGAAGAGTATGAGCGGGAAGCTACTAAGAAGGGGGCCAGGTATGAGGCCAGAGGTCCAGCAGCAGTGGCAGGGCTGGGAGGGCCATGAGGCATGCACAGGACAGAGCACACTGCCCCGCCATGCCTAGTCCCCGTGCTCTAATCTCCACAGGGGTGTGGAGGGACTCGTGGAACAAGCTCGACACTGGGAGCAGGCTGGAGAGTACAGTCGTGCCGTGGACTGCTACCTCAAAGTGCGAGACTCTGGAAACAGCGGCCTAATGGAGAAGTGCTGGATGAAGGTGAGGGCAGCAGGCTCTTTCGGGCCCTCCTTCTTCCTAGGCCTCCATTCACACTCAGCTTCCCTTCTCACATCTGCAGCTGTCTCCTCTGTGTCTTTTCCTTTTCAATCAGGTAGCAGGAATCTGTGGAGCTCCTGCTGGATGATAGAGCCAGAACCTCTGAAGGCTGTTAAGCAGATATAAGACAGCTAAAAGTTAGGGGAGTTGAACTAACACATGGCTCAGTTAATATCATATCTGAGTGCATACCAAAGTGCATGACTTAAAGTAGAGTTCAGAGAACAGTGAGATCTCTGTGGGCTAGACAGGTCAGGAAGGCTCTGTGAAGAAGGAGGGAGGACTTGGACAGGAGCCGGAAGGGCAACCCCAGGCACAGGAACTGGTCATACAGGGAACATGAAAAAGCATGGGCTCCGCCTCATCCACCCAACATTTCCTGAAAAGAGGCCTCCAGCAAATTAAGCCAGGCCAGTATGTGTCTCAAATAATAAGACATACTGTATTAGAGAAACCAACAGGATGTATACAGTCATACACCACATAATAACATTTAGGTCAACAGTATACCGCATGGCTGGGTGTGGTGGCTCACACATGAAATCCCAGTACTTTGGGAAGTCAAGGATGGCGGATCACTTGAGGTCGGGAGTTCGAGACCAGCCTGACCAACATGGCAAAACCCTGTCTCTACCAAAAATACAAAAAAATTAACCAAGCATGGTGGTATACACCTGTAATTCTGGCTACTCAGAAGGCTGAGGTAGGAGGTTTACTTTGAACCCAGGAGGTAAAAGTTGCAGTGAGCCAAGATCACAACAGTACACTCCAGCCGGGGTGACAATGTGAGACTCTGTCTCAAAAAAAAAA